CTACAGGGTAGGCTATATGCCCAGGAAGAGTTGGCCAACACAAAATGGATTCCATAGTTTTGTGTGTGCATGCTTTTGTTTTGTTATTATTTTTTAATCTTACTGATTTTTTAAAAGTTTGTTTTGTTTTTTCTTCCTTTTTTTAGAGTGAGAGAAAACATGGAGTTGGTTGGTAGGTAGGAAGAGGGGAAAGAATATGACCAAAATATATTGTATGAAAACAATTTTAAATAAAAATTACTTAAAGTCAAGTATCTTCTATCAGATTTTTTGGTTTTAGTTGAAAATGCAATATAATTAGCTATCAATACTTGGTTTTCAGTCACATCTGACTAAAGGCTAAACTGAGAAGCAGATGGTTTAAATCTCTCTTCTGTGTAATTCAGCAAATTAGAGACTGAAGAAAAAATAATTCCCAGTTATGATATTTTGGAACCCTCTCTAAGCAAGATGTGACAGGCACCTGGCCATTTTATCATTATCTGTCAAGCACTCCAAGTGAGTAGGATTCCACCCCTAACATTTCTTGCCATTTTAACAACCCTGCCAAAAGCCATTTAAACATGCCATTTCTGACTTTTCTAGCTGGAATGAGTACACTTTCCCCCCTCCTTTTGAGTCTTGCAGGTGATTTTACAACACCACAGACCAATTTGGTTCATGAGATAGACTGGGAGTTTTCTGAGTATAGGAAGTTCAATCATTAACTTTTTGGGACATGCAGCAAATATTGGATGCCTATAGGCTGTATATGTCCCTGTTGCTGATGTTTAAAGCAACCCTTTAAAAATGTAGCAGGCTGAGTCTCCTGAAAATGATCACATGATGATTTTTGGTTCATTAAAGATCAAATTTAAAGGAGGACTGGACTTCTATATCTTAGTAGCAGCACCTCTGGCAAGTCACTCATTTACATGACGTGTGAGCAGTATAGGTTATGGTGGGTATCAGTGGGATGGAGTATGCAGAGTTCTTGGCAATCTACTTAGTAAGGCTCACGAGATCTAGTTACTGCTGTACGAACCTCCATAGCCCATCAGCTGAGCAGCATCGAAGCATTCAGCAAGTGTTACACAACTGGAGATGCCCACATTATTTTGGGATGGCGTTTGCTAGATTGCCCAAGTAGACCTTGAATTCATAGTTCTCTTGCTTCAGCCTTTTAAATAGTCAGCTGGAAGGCAAAGCCAGGGTGCTTAACAAGTTAGGTGAAGATAAGGGAAAATCAAATGATATCAGATGCAATGTCTGTCTGATATCTCATAAAACCAACTACCTCTGAGCCTCCCTGCAAGATGTCTAATCTGTGCCCTGCACTGCATATGTACCCCAAAGGAGCTGGCCATTAATCTGTTCACCAGGTGCTCTCTCTCCTGTAGGAAGTCCAATCTGATTGTAAGACTGACCCTAGCCATATATAATGATTTGTAAAGTAAGTGTTCTACTTTTTGGACTGGTGTTGAGTCCTCCCTAAGTGTTCAGTTTACCTGTTAAAGACATCTAGACCTGAATTTTTTTTTTTTGCAGATTTTTCTTATTTGAATTAGAAACAAGATTGTTTTACATGACAATCCCAGTTCCCTCTCCTTCCCCTTCTCCCCTACCCCCGCCCCCAACTAAAGCCCTACCTATCACATATCCTTTCTGTTCCCCCTGGATGGTGAGGCCTTCCATAGGGTATCATCAGAGATTATCATATCCTTTGGGATAGGGCCTGGGCCCACCCCCGTGTGTCTAGGCTCAGGGAGTATTCCTCTATGTGGAATGGGCTCCCACCATCCCTATGCTAGTGATAAGTACTGAACTACTACAGGAGGTCCCATAGATTTCCGAGGTTTCCTCACTGAAACCCATGTTCCGGGGGTCTGGATCAGACCCATGCTGGTGTCCCAGGTATCAGTCTGAGGAGCAAGAGTTCCCCGATGTTCAGATCAGCTGTTTCTGTGGGTTTCACCAGCCTGGTATGGACCCCTTTGTTCTTTACTCGTCCTTCTCTGCACCTGGATTCCAGTTCAGTTCAGTGATTAGTTGTGGGTGTCTGCTTCTACTTCCATCAGCTGCGGGATGAGGGCTATCAGGTAGCATATAAGTCAGTCATCAATCTTATTATCAGGGGAGGGCATTTAAGGTTGCTTCTCCTCTGTTGTTTAGATTGTTATCTGATGTCATCTTTGTAGATCTCCAGACAGTTCCCTAGTGTCTGATTTCTCTGTAAACCTAAAATGTCTCCCTCTATTATGGTATCTTCATTCTTGTTATCTTCTATTCTTCCCCTGACTCATGTCCTCCACATCCCTCCTCTTCTCTCCTTCTCATTCTCCTAGCTCCCTCCCCCCTCTTCCTGTGCTCCCAATTTGTTCAGGGGATCTTGTCCCTTTCCCCTTGTCCAGGGGACCATGTATGTCTCTCTTAGGGTCCTCCTTGTTTACTAGCTTCTCTGGCAGTGTGGACTGTAGGCTGTAGACCTGAAATTTTATGGAAAGTTTTAAACTATAAATTAAATTTATTGCCCTTCCACCTCTCCTTCCCCCAAGGTCCTTCCATGTTGCCGAAGCTAGCCAAAAACACATGTGTGATCCTAGGTCCTTCTGCCCAGCTCACCCCAGTACCACTCTTGGAGTTTCTGTTATAGAATTATTTGTTTTTATTTTTTATGCTGGGGATGGGCCCTAGGGACTGTGTATACCAGGCACTGAGCTACAGATCTAGGCCCAAATTCAGTTTCTTTAGTGAAGGTTATCTATTTTTTTTTTGAGCAAGCCTTGATAATTTTTTTGTTAAGCCAGACACTGTGAATTACACCTGTTAGCACTAAATAATTTGTAGTCATACAAATGCTCATAAACTTTGTTGCTGGGTGCATTAATGTTACTTGGGAACAAACATTAAATAAATTGAAGACTTTCAAAGAGACTCACATAACTGAATTTTGTAAGAAAAATACCTTATTTAGTTAATAAAAAACTCCTAAATTAATACTTTCAGCTTAGTTATTTATAGCTTTGCTGGAAACATTAGAAATAAGAATCTTAAAAGAAAAGAAATAGGAATCTTAAAACAGGTTTTAATATTAGGACTATTTAAACCAATACAGATATGTGAATATAAAATCCCATAATGAATTAAAGCTCATCATAAAATACCAGGCAAATTAGTTCTAGAGGAATGTTACTATAAATAAGGGCATATTTTGAAATATTTTCAGATATTCTCATGCATATTACCTTATTTGATCCTTACCAGAAACCCAGGAACCATACAGTATGAATTTATTTTCTTTACTTGATAGATTTAGAAACGATTTAAAGGGTTAGGGTTGTAGCTTTGTGGTAGAGTGCTTGCCTAATGTGTGTAGTTCCTAGAGTGAGAGGGGGGATGGAAAAGGCAGGGATGGGTAGAGAGGGAGAGGGAAGGGAAAACACAGGAAGTGAACACAAGCTTGCTTCTAAGGAATGCATTTGTAGGTAGACTAGTGAGATAAGGATTACAATAGCATTTTGAGAAATCAGTGTATGTAAATGGGCTAAATTATTAAACTCTTAATGCTTCTGGATATTGATCTGACATGGAAGACTTAAATGATAAATCCCTATTTCTTTTTTGCAATTATTTTAATGGAAGTATGGAAAATAGATTAAAAGAAAAAGGAATGGATTCTAAAAGTAAGAGACATTAAAGTAACTGTTCCACAGAGGGATTTGGTATATGCTGACAAGTTCACAAGATGCACAACACTTACTGTGACCTAGCAGTAGTACTACAGACATCCGTGCTTTACACTCAATGTTACAAAGTACTTGAAGACTAGCAAAAGTTCAAGATGAAGCATAGACAAAAACAGGACAGACAAACAGAATGGAGAAAACAGAAACAGACACTTTACTACACTGTTGAGTAATCTTTACAAAAATGCTATGACAACACAGCAGAGGCAAAAGATGTTTAGTAGATAAGGTTGGAACAACTGGAGAAGAATATAAAATAACCACTCTAATATTTATCTTGCTTAATCTTTTTCTTGCTTGTGCTAAATAAAAAATAATACTAGAGGAATGGTGGATATATGACAGCTAAAACATACATCTGGAAGAAAACAGGAGTGAGTGTGTGTGAGGTATTGAGTTATTTGCAAATGTTAGATCATGGGATTTCTTATGATCATGCAAGTCAATACCTTTTAATATGTTTTCCTAAACACACAAACACCTTTTGATTCTTTCTCTCTGGAGAACCCTGACTCATATAGAGGGCCACAAGGTCTCTTACCTATTTTACTCTGCCACAGCAGTATGAAAACAGCCATAGGTAGTCTTAACAAATGGAGAACATGCTATAATAAAGTCTTATTTTAAAAGACAAGTAGGGGATTTTGTTTCATCTGAGGACTATTGTTTGTCAACCTAATTTTCAGAGCAAAAGATTTTATATGTAACATAGTGCCATAAAGATCTGTGACTTTACCATATGGAAGCCCCACTAAAGTGAAAATATGGGTAATAAAATATATTTTATATTATGTGAACAAGTTTAATAAGAACTAGCCTAGGAAAACCAACATATTAGTTACATATGCACAAGGAGTCATTTTTGAAGACAACTACTAATCATTGTTTATAATAGCAAAGGCTTGAGATGTAAATGTCCACCACAGAGACAATACACAAGCTAACACTTGTACAACAAAATACAATAGTAGGAGGAACTAAACTCCACTTTTTAATTCATTAGTAACAGGTGCCTCTAATATTCATGGTAGTCTGCAAAACGGTAATATTTCTCTGAAATAAAAATATCATGTTACTTTAAAAATGTACATATCAGGTTGTTAATCCAATCTAGTTCTAAATTGCTAGATATTTCCAAGGGTAGAGATGGAACACTCTCTGGAGTAGTGGAGAATGACCCTCATATAGAATGAGGGAATCTAAAGAGCCAAAGATTTTTTTCTTTGGGGATAAGTAAGTAGAATGCTTATCCTCATTTTCACTTTGTTCTTCTCTTATGATTTTCCTTGTCTCCCCACTACCACAAATTATGCAGTCGAGTTTCCCACATACGGGAAAATCACAGGGCTCAGCACATACAGAATGCAATGGATGAGCCTTGCCTTGGGAAAACCTTTTTTGTAATCATGGTGTCTCCTTTGCCAGGTAAGTATATAATTTCCTCTTTTTATTTCCAATTTTTTTTAAATCCATCAAATAGTTCTGAATTTTGTTAATGCTGCTTGCTAATCCTTTTCTAAAGAAGCCCTGTTGAAATCCTAATATTTGATTATGCAATAATTGTTATTTTGTTCCTAAAAATCTAAAGTGGTTATCATAGCATAAGAGTAATTTAGAATGTATGAAGAATTGCCAAATATGTTTCCATGGTAAATCATTATAACTACTATGTGAAACATAGAACAAGGAGGGTACAGGTACTACCAACCTTAAGCTACTGTTCTATTTCTGTGAAGAGACAACAGGACCAAAGAAACAAATAAATAAAAACAATTAATTGGGACTTGCTTACAGTTTTAGAACATTAGTGGCAAGCAGGCAGAGATTGGGCCAAGAGTGGGCTTTTGAACCCTCAAAGCACACCCCCAGTGACACACCAACAAGGCCCTAGCTCCTAATCCTTCCCAAACAGGTCTACCAACTAGGAACCAAATATTGAAAATATGAGCCTATGAAGATCATTTTCATTCAAATTACTATACTACCCAAAGTCACATAACTAATTTTTGGCTTAAAAATCAATGGCATAGATTTGTCCTTGCAGATGATAACTTTCTTCATTATGTCTGTGCTTCCAGTGAAGTCTCTTATTGTTTAAGCCAGAAAGTTACTCTGATGACTCTTAGAATTTTGTATTTCTCTTTGGACACTGAATATATCCTATCTGTTAAAATATTTACAGATATCTGACTTATACAGTTAATGGCAAATTCTTGAAGAACAGGGATTAGGTTTTGTCCTTTTTACATATCCTATATTTCATTTTTTAAAAAAAACTGGATAACTACTGGACTTCCTTGTTTATGGGGATAATAAATATTGCTAAAACTACAAACATATATATATATATCATTATTGAACACCTATATAGTATTTTTAGCAATTGTATTTAAAAATGAAGTACACCAAAATTTTGAACAGTAAATGATAATACTTTTATTTTTGAGAAAAATCAATTTAACTTCTAGTATTGCTATCTGCAATCTCTATAGAAACTACAAACTGTATTATATTTAAATCATTCTGAGGTTGTAATTAAATTACAAGAAACATCTCTTTAGGAGGAAGTGGAAGACTCAACTCTAATTCTTCCCAATATCCAATGTATTTACAAAGCTACATTTGAATATTTAAAACATGACTTGGTTTGTAATAATTTAATTTATAGCACATATTTAAAGAACACATATAAAGCATGTTAACTCTTTAAAAAACATATATTTCTGAAAAAGTTATCCAGACAGCTCACAGGAAGATATTACACCTGAATTATATTAGCTAAAGCAGCCTTGGGTAGGTTCTAAATAAACTTGAAGAGATTTTTCAGAAACCCTTCACTAATGAAACTGCTTTCAGGCTACAGTGACTTTGATGCTAATTACATAGTCCTTAAGCCACCCCTCTCTTTATCCCTGGACTCATTCTGCTGGAAACTTTCAGGGCAAAATATACTGCTAAGAAGATTCATTCTTAATAGTAGACTTTTCATTAAAAAAAAAAAGCATTACAATTTTGCAAGTGGTTCACACTACTTGAAGAGGACTGTTTTGGAGTTTGGAAAGAGGTGTGGGGGTATTTTATTTCATTAGAAATGTTCTGGTGGGTCTAGAGAGATGGTTCAGTGGTTAGCAGCATTTACTGTTCTTTCAGAGGACCCATATTTAGCTCCCAGCACTGACATAATGGCTTACAAGCATCCCAGCTCCAGTTCCAGGGGGATCTAATGCCCTCTTCTGACTTCTGTAAACATCAGGCATGCACATGGCACACATACAAACAAAACCTCATACACAAAAATAAAAATAATAAATCTGAAGTGCTCTGGTCAAGTCCTTGACAAACAACCCACGAAGATGCACATCCCATTGCCACATTTTGAGCCTTTAAGAGAAAATATACAGCTAAAAATCCCAGGTGTTCCCTACGTGGCTGTCTCCTACTCGCTCATACTTTAGGTCTAATCATAAAACCATTTCTTCCTAAAGGACATATTTGTAACTTTGCATTATAGAGTAGTCCAAACTTACCTATACTACAACAGTACACAGCATATTTCACCTCTTCATTCAGCCACCTGCCTTTGCTCATGACAAAGGAGAGAGACTGCGTCTGTCTTCTTCATGCAAAGACTACTATAGCATTGGGTGCCAGCTACAAAGCAAGTACTTTTATTTTCAGAGTGTCTCCATATAAATCACAAGGATAAAAAATAAAATATCTTTGTTCAAAGCCTTTTTGAAATGAGGCATAGAGAAAACCATACAGTTTATATGTAGAAATATAGAAAATGACCATTTATGTACATGTGTACTTAAACTTCTAGGACATCAAACTCTTCCTTGTTACCTATTATTTTCAATTACAAAATATGATTCTAAATTATTAATTAAATCAAATTATTAATTTGTTAAATTCACATCTCAGTTTAATTCATTATGGCAATAGGAAAAAGATATAGATACAAAATACTTGAATAATTCCAGTTTTTGGTTGTGAGCCTAGCCTTTAACAGCTCAGCCATCTCTCCAAGGGATTGACACGTGAAACAAGCTTGTTCCTAATTTGAACTAATTAAAAAAAAATTCCAGTTTTTTATTAAAAAATATAAAATAAGAAAATTTTTAAAGGAAAAAAATCCCAGAGAATGCTTTAATTATTGGAATGTATAATCGGTACATCATTTATTCAAGGGTATTTATGCTACTACAAAAAATTTTGCAAACTAGTTATCATACATAGCCTAAAACAGATAATATAATTCAAGAACAAATCAGTAATTATTGAAAGATATTTCCAAACGTTAAATTAAAAGGCAAGGTTCCTGAGATCTGTGTGGAAGAATCTGAAAGTCTACAATATGTAGTTACTTTAGGAGCTATCTCATAGTAAGAAAAATAAATTATCTTTATTCCCCACCACTTTTGAACATACAACTATTAAGAATATATATGATGTGTGCAGGTGATGGGAGGGTTTTGATGATTTTCAATTAGATGCACACTCTAGACTATCTAATCTCCCTTCATATAACAAAATTAGTTACTATAAAAGAGTGTGTGTGTGTGTGTGTGTGTGTGTGTGTGTGTGTGTGTGGTATACAAACACACATGTGACTGGGTACAAGCACTCATGTGCATTAAGGCCAGAGGAAAATGTCCTGCTCTCACACTCCTCACCTTATTGCTTTAGGGCAGAGATCATGGGGCTAGGCTAGTGGCATCAGGTCTCAGTGGTCCTCTTGTTGCTACCATCTGACCTCCCCCACTATAGCACTAGGATTACAGATGTGTACAGCCATGCCCAGTTTTTTATGTGGGTTTTAGAATTTGAACTCAGGTTCTCATGCTTGTATAGCAAATGTTCTTACATGATAAACCATCTTCCCAGTCCAGGATAGGGTCTTCTGACTATAAATTAATGCCAGAGAAACAGAAGTCAACATATAAGGTAAGATGAAACTTGAAACGATCAGATATGCACACTAATTACTGCACTAGTGATGCATACAAATAGGAATCATTAAATTCCAGCCACAGGCACATCATGTAATATGTCTCTGAACAATAACAATTTCATAGAAGTGGAGTCAAAGGGAAGAAAAAAAATGCAGGATTTTTTTTTATAAATTACAACAACAGATATTTTTATAACTAAAGGATTAATATTAAGGACCTTATTAGAATTTATGCTGTGTCCTCTACTTCTCTGAAATGTTTTACTTCCTCTAAAACACATATACATCTTATATACCATTAATAATTTTATAAACAATGTTACTATTTCTCTACATGGGCTCTTTTACACAGAACTCAAAGTATTTTTAAGAAATTACCCAATTAAATTTCATGACTCTTATATGTGAAGAACTGTATCAAACCTAAAAGATAATGGAAAATTATTCATTCAGCCAATGGTATAATGACCTTTATACCATTACACTACATCTAGTGCTGTAGCTTGTGAGAAAGTGTTGCTCAGCTCCAAGAATGATGCTAATGGAAACATCTCAGCTTTAAATAAGTTTAATGTCCCAAAAAGATGTGAGTTCAGAAACAGTGCATTGTCTTTTTTTTATCTTTTTCTTTTTCTTTTTCTTAAAGGTAAGGTCTTACTATGCAGTCCTGGCTGGCCTGGAGTTACTATGTAGAGATGGTCACAAACTCCACCTGTCTCCACTTCATGAATGCTGAAAGGCATGACCTCCATGTCTGGCAATACTTAGCTTTGATAATAAATACCGGTCACAATTCAAGCACCCTTACATTTATTTTTTTAAAAGCAAATAATAGTAGTTTGCAATTACTTCAGCTTTTACATGAGGTTCCATAGTAAATGCATCTCAATATATGATTTTATTTAGTGTTTCACACAATTCAATTCTCTCATGTTACTGGTAAAGAAACTACGTCTTGGGTTCCATAAATTAACCAGGAATTTTTAATAATGGTAGCTTAACTTAAAGTCTTGATTGTAGAAAAAGAGCACTGAACTACCACTAAGACCTTCTGTCTATAGTCTTTTTAATACCACTTTATTGATGAGAAGGGAAGGTTTCTGTTCTTTTTTAAATTATTTTTAATTACTTGGAAAAGCCTGGAATAGACCATAGTTCAACCTATCCATCACCAAATGTTTCTTCATTAAAAAAAAAATATAAGCAAATATTTCATTGTCCTCAATGTAAAATGAAGATGGTTACCAGCGCAGCCTTTTTCAATTCTCAAACCTTGGTCTCAAGATACAGAGATTTTTCTCAGAAATAAAAAATCTTGGGCCCTACTCCTGACAGCCTGCATCAGAATCCACCATTTTAACAAGTCTTCCAGGCATGCTAATGTTTGAAATTCTTGGGTTGATTTTATGCAATAATTATGAATAAAATAAATTCAATAACAGCACCTTAAAAGTAAGTTACATCATCCCTATTAAATTG